CAGGATGGAAACTGAAACAGGGCAGGAGCCCGGAAGCAGGAGCTAATGCAGAGGCCATGGCGGGGAACAGCTTATGGGCTTGCTTCTCATGACCTTGCTCAGCCTGCTTTCTTATAGAACCCAGGGCCACCAGCCCAGGGATGGCACTACCCACAATGGGCTGGGCCCTCCCCCACTGATTACCAATTGAGAAAACACCTTAGAGATGGATCTTATGGAGGCATTTCTCAACTGAAGCTCCCTTCTCTCTGATGACTCTAGTTTGTGTTAAGTTGACATAAAACTAGCCAGTACATTTGGGTTCATAGTACTGGAGGCTGGATCAGGAGGCTTAGTGGCAGAGGGTGAAAGGGCCAAGGTGCACGTAAAAGAATGGACTTGCTTTATAACAACCTGCTTTCAAAGTAAGTCATGCAGTTCTGTGAAAGAATTCACCCAATGTACAAAAGGCATTAATCTGCTCTAGGAAGCTCTGCTCCCATAACTCAAATGCCCCCCATCAGGCTCCACATCCAATGTTTCCCAAACTGTGGTTCAGCTTGAATTAAGAGAAGCCCCCCCAAACTGGGATTTTATTAAACCTTTCCGAAGATCATTGTTCTAAGGTATAATAAAGTCTCATGAAAATTTTGTGATTGCCGTAGAGACATTTTTCTACCTACAAAATATTTTTTAAGATCCTTTTCAGGATGGTAGAAACCAGCCATGAAATAGCCGGTGTTTCCTGAGCCCTGAGGGCGTCTGAATCAATACTCACCCCAGACAGGCACTAAGGATAGACCAAAAGCTCCAACTTGGCGAACTTCTAAGTTTATTGGCCTTACTTATATACCATGTCTGAGGGATTGCTTACAGGTGTGTGAATAATGCTCCGCAAACAGCTGTACCACCAAAAAGTCTCACCCCAGCATAGGTGAAACTTTCACTCCTCTATTTAACTTCCCCCACTTTATATATTCTGACACCTACTGAGAACAGGAGGGCATGTGTACGCCCAAGCTGGGCACAAGTACCGTAGGAAGGAGTGACTGGGATGGATGTCTAATGACCTTCCTAACTCCTTTCTTCTATAAGGGAACATCCGGGCCGATCTTTTTAAAAGCTGATTCTTTGAGAATTTCACATGTGTGCTCTGATCATTTTCCTCCCCGGGTACCTCTTTTATCCCCTCCCATTCCCTCTGGACCACTTCTTCTCAAAAAGTCCCTTCTATACTTCCATATTTTCCCCCTCTTGATCCCCTGAATTTAACTAGGGCTTTTTGCAATGAGTAAGGGAGGGAACTTATTGGAAGGTGGACAACTTGTCATTGGCTATACCACTGAAGGGAGAGTAAAAACTGCCTCCCCTTCCCTCAGGAGCCAGTCACTACAGATAAGTCCTCTGCAAGGGATGGGGCCTGATGAGTCCCTCCCCCATCTGTGATGGAACGTTTACAAGCTTGATCATGGGCAGGTCCTGCACAGCAACCTAGCTGCTTGGAGTTCCTGAGGGCAATGGCCATACTATGTCCAGACCACAGCGTTTCCCAGCATCCTTCTTCATCCTCCAGCCCTAACATTATTTATGTTCCCTCTGTGATATTTCCTAAGCCTCAGGCATGGCGTAGACGTGTGTGTGTGTGTGTGTGTGTGTGTGTGTGTGTGTGTGATGCAGATGTTCCATTTAGGGCCCAACCATTAACAATCACTTCTCAGCACTTTCACCAGCTAGGAATCTGCATGAACCTCTACTTACTGAAAAAGAACTTCTCTCACCAAGACTTAAAGTAGCATTAACCTTAACCTATGGGTGTAAACATAAATATTTCGAAGGCGTTTGACACCATTTCAACTTAGCAAAATGACAATGGGAGGTAGATTCCCTCCTCAAGCCTGTGATGTCACCAACCAATGGGCTTTTGTTGAGGTACCCAGCACGAATTCCCTCCTGGGGAGAAGGCTTTGAGTCTAGTGAGAAAGTCAGTACTGATCCCCCTTACAGTTATGCCGCTATTGCATTTGTGGGCACATCAGCAGGACAGTCCGGCTTGTGATGTGCAGGGACCCCCACTGGGTATGACTGGTGAGGATTATCTCTTCAAGCAGCCTGCATAGCACCGCCTGGCTCTGTGAAAGGTAGCAAGAAGGAAGGAAACTTCCATTCCCGTTCTGGTTGGTTTCTCTGTGTCCTGCAACCAAAATGTCTGCTATCCTCAGCAATGAGATCTTACCTTAGTCCTGGTGGGCGATCCACAGAAGGGAAACAGGTTTGCTGTTTTGGGAGTCTCTGGGGCCTCCCTGGTCAACACTCATAGTGAGTATCACAGGGACTGGCTCAATTTTGTGGACTGCATGCACATAGTGGCAGCTGTTCAGGAGACCATAGTAAGGTCTGTTATGCTTAGAGAATAGCATTCCACAGCAATTGCAGAGGAAATCTGCTACGCAAAACTTTCCCATAGCTTGAGGTAGCTGTTGTCTGTATGTGACTGACATTCTCCCTGAACTTTCCCATAGCTTGAGGTAGCTGTCGTCTCTGTGTGACTGACATTCTCCCTGAACTTTCCCATAGCTTGAGGTAGCTGTCGTCTCTGTGTGACTGACATTCTCAGGGAACCCTTACCTTTGCCCATCTTGATTGCAGGATTCTCTGCAGATGAAGTGAGGAGAATGCGTTTTTTCTACTCCCAAGCTCTGTTGTTACAGTGTCTCATTTTGTTTTCTTTTAGTTTGACTACTTGATTTTTCTTAATTACATCTCTGCCCCAGGTATTTGACCCTAAGGATAATATTGAAAAAGAAGTAGACTAGTTTTATTTGGGAATTCCTCAGGCTTTATCCTGGTCAACCACCAAATCACCGTGGCAGCCTTCTGATTACAGGTAAATATGTGGGAAAAAAAAAAAACCCCAAAGGTGTCACCTGGTTTTGCTTTGTTTTTAATAAGCATCTTAATCTCATAATTTCCTGCTTATAACTAACCAGGATCCCTCTTTCTTCTGCTCGATACCTCATTTCTTAGGGAGGAGGGAAAATGGCCAGTTTTGCTTTCCACAGTATCTCTCTCTCTCCCTCTCCCTCTCCCCCTCCCTCACACACACACACACACACACACACACACACACACACACACACAGAGCAAAGAATTGGTAGGAAACGGAGCTCTTCACAAAAGAGGAATTTGACAAATGAAAGTTTTCAGTGTGCTGTGAAAGACTCTAACTACTGAGCACATAACGGACAGTGCAGGAGTAACAAAGAATCTCAGCAGTGTATATGTGCCTGGAGAACGGCAGCGTCAGCGTGAGTGACACAAGCCAACTGCATTGGTTTGCAATATAGCAGACTGGAAAGCACACACTGTCTGCTTTGTTGAGACGTTATGTTCTGAAGAGCGTTGTTGCGATGTCTTTGGTTTGGCTTTCCCCCTGCTAATATAAACTATTTTCATACTGACGTTGCTTTCTTCTTACAAGTTATTGGAAGAGGCTGAAAATTTAATTCCTATCTAGATTTCTTGCTAGTTTCAATTCATGAGTTTCCAGTCAAATGTCAATGAAAAATACTTAAGTGTTAGAAATCTAAACCTTCTCACCCACATCTAATTAAAATATATTTAATCCACATATTTACATTTGTGGCTTAAAAGGGTTGGCATTACTTATCGAAACTTGGCCTGGCCTGGTGAATTACTCAGGCCTGTGATTCCAGCTACATAGGACGTTGAGGCAGGAGGATTACAAATTCAAAGTCTGCCTTGGCTACAGAGTGAGTTCAGTGCAAGCCTGGACAATTTACTGAGACTGTCTCAAATAACAAGAGGGCTTTAGATGTCTCAGTGAAAGAGGGTTTGCTTCACCTCAAATACAACGCTTATTTATCGGAGGTAGAGAGCATATGCGGAATGATTGGGCGTGAAGGACAATGTATTTTGTAGGCATCTCTCTTCCATTTATTGAGAGAAGTTTTACTCCAACACTTTTCTAGTACTGGGTCCTTGGAAGATCAGTTTTCTAGGCGATGGGATATGTTGTGCGAGGAGATAATTACCTGTGTCTGAACACGTATACATCTTACCTGTTCTCCCAACACACCGGTCCTCTGTATCATGGACTGAACTTCAGAACTCCCGAATGCTAGGTTATTTTCTTTCACTAAATCTCAAGCCAGTCCCAGCTCCCTTAGCGCCAACGTGCCATCTACCTGTCTCAGCCTCCCCAGTAGCTGGGATTACAGGCCTATGCGGCTGCGCCTGGCTGTCCTGTATTACACAATGATGCTGTGTTACTCACGAAGCAGTGCTTAATAAACAATATAACCCTCTGCCCTTTCCAAGTGGCCAGAGTGGCCTGGGAAGTGGATTTTCGTTTGAGATTTACAATTTAACGATTTGAGTCACGTTTAGAGTCCAAACTCCTAGAGCTTCATTTGGAAAAAAAAAATGGCAATAATATCTATGACACAATTTTCGCTCAGGGGATGGTGACCTGAGCTCGCAAATGGGAACCACAAACCATTTTTCTAAAAGCACCCCGAGTTCGTGGTAGAGCACTTGGGGGTCAGGAAGAGGAGACCATCGGCCTGGTCTTGATTTGCTGGCATTGTTCAAGGCCCTGCCACCCTGGCTGAGCACCGATGCCCTGAACGCTCTGTCCCTTGATTCTCAGTAGCATTTCTAAAGCTCGCCTAGTTCTTCGCAGACCTCGCTTTGCCAGCCTCCCACGGCTTCAGAGAGAAGCCACCAGGGACCTACAACCGCTCCCCTCCCGCGCGCTGCTCCTGCGAAGGCGGGGCGGGGCGGGACTTCAGACTTTCTAGGTCGTGTCAGCCAATGAGCGCGTGGCCTCCTTTCCGGCCAGCGAACCGACCAATCCGAGCCGGCCTGTGTCATCTTCGGCTCCACTCGGCTCTTTTCGCCGCTGCGGGCTGCTTGGGGGCCTCGGCCGCTGGAGAGACGAGACGCTTTCCTTTTTTTTTTTTTCTTCTCTTTTCTTTCTTTTTTTTTTTTTCCTCTTTTTTTCATGTGTTCACTTCCGGGTCCGGTGCCGCTCCGGATGCTCGAGGCCGAAGGATGTTTGACCTCCGGATAAGCGAGGCGCCGCCGTGCATTCATTCCCGGTTGCATCGGTGGCCACAGCCGCGGCCCGGACGGCGACTCGGCGCTCAGCGGCGGCGGTAGGTGGCGCCGGCGGCGGCGCGCCGAGCCGGGAGACGCGGGCCCGTCCTCCTCAAGCTCGCGCCTTCCTCTCCCCGGCCTCGTTCATCTCCTGCGGCCGCCGGCGGCGGGGATGTGCCGGCGCTGACGGGCGGACGCGCGCGCCGGGCCGAACCCGCTGCTCGCGGCTGCGCCTCTGAGGTAAATCCGGTCGGCTGAGGCCCGCGGGCAGGCGGGCGAGCCAGGGGCGCGGGCGGCGGGGCGAGGCCGGGCCGGGCCGGGCGGCGCAGGGGCTGCGGGCCGGGCCGGGGAGGGGCCCTGCGGTCGCGCGGCTGCCCGAGCTCCGGGGCGGCGGGGAGGTGGAGGCGCCGGCGGCGGCGGTGCGGAGCAACTTCCCTGAGCCGAGGCGGCGGCGAGGGACCCGGTGTGCCGAGCCTTCCACCGACTCGGAACTCGACCGAGCCGTTCGGGGAAGGCAGCGACGTGCCTGCCGCGGGCTCTGGGGTCGGGTTGGTGTGTTTACCCGCCCGCGGGGGAGGAGGCACCGCGGTTCCTGGGTGCGCGGTGTTGATGGAGATCCTGTGTGCTGCTGGAGTCGGGGGAGTTCGGGCTGTGCCGTCCACGATCACTCCTGTTCGCCCACCCCGTGTTTCAGGACGAAAAGTTAAAAAAGGGTGAGGGAAAGTCTGAGTGGCAGCAGGCTACTGTTGCTCCAGGCTGGGCATGAGTTGTGGCTCTGTTGGGATGAGTATCCGGGTTTAGGTCAGTGCCCCGTGGAGCAGTCAGTTCAACGGGTACTTAGTATTAGAAGATGAAATACCTTTAAAAAATAAACGTACGAAGACAAACTGTTTTTATTCTTGCAATTGCTTCTTGTGATTATACTTGGCGTTTGACCACAGGTAGAGATATCGAACTATGAAAGTGGAAATAAATCAAATTTAAATGTGTGCTTCTTTGAGGAATCTTGGCTTTCCCTGTAAACCCAAGGTGGGAGAAAAATAGACACAAAGTTGTTTAAGAATCATTAAATTTAGACGTGAGACTGGTTTAAGAAAATATATTATGACAGAAATCTCATGCTTTGCTTGCTATACATTCTTAATTGCTTATTTTTGAGATGTGCTTACAGCGTTTTATAATGGTTACTTAACTTTGCTTTCATTGTGGTTCTGCCCTAGGATAAACTTCATATTTTGTATATGAGCTTTCCTAGCTGCTCAGAGATTAATATTATATTTATAGGCACTGGAAGAATGGTGTTATCACGTACGTTGTGTGCCTTTCTCCTACATTCTTGATAGAATGGTATAGATAGTTTTGCTTTAAGTGAGCTTACATTTCTGGATATGTATCATGTAGAAGGAATCCATACAGGACTTGGGAACAGAAAGATTTTATTTTGTTTTATTTGTTTACTTACTCATTTTGGGCTTTTGAGACAGGGTCTGACTACATAGCATGGGTTGGACTTGAATTCATTGTCTTGTCGAGGCCTCTTGAGTGTTAGGATGACTAAATAGTGTTCCGCCGTGCTCTTAATGTTGGTATAGATGAGACTTTTTTTTGACATTGTGCTGTATCTTGAGGAATGGTTATTGATGATCTATGTACATCCATGACCCCCCTTTTGTCAGCTTAAATTTGATGAGTTGTGTAATTATTGACATTTTTAGTGTTAGATTTGCAAATGTATACCGCAATTCTTCTAATGACAAAAGTCATTTGTTGCTCTTTTCAAAATCAAGTACTGGGATTAGAATCAAGCGATAATCTAATGAACTCATACCCCCTACCACTTGATGTTATTAGAAGAATGGGTAGAAATATGAAGATGACCGAGACTCTAGCTACCTTCAAGGGAGAAGCAGGCATGGTTCAAATAATTGCAACCCAAGCTTCCTGTAGGTTTTATTAGAGCTGGATGGAAGCATGGGGTGCGTGTGCAAGACACTAATTTGAAGGGAGTTAGGAATGAGCGTGGGGCTGTGACACTGTGTTTGGGCCTTAAATGTTTTCATGGGCACAGGGGCTGAGCGCTGTCACATGGCTGGGTGTTAGGGTACCTGTTGAGCTGGCTGCAGAGCTGCTGTGAAGAGGAAGCTGGGAAAGTGGGTGGAGAGCAGGCCATGGCTGTTCAGAAGGCCTTGTGTTTAACAGTGAGTCAGCTGGAGGTGTGAAGGTTCAAATGTGTCTCTTCTGTGGTGACAAGAGGTAGACACAGAAGAACTGCTGTGTTTAAGAAAACAAATTATAACCCAATGGTTAGCTGGCTGTCATCTGTGCTACCGGGGGGGAAGCAGATGCATACAGTGGACATCAGTTTATACATGGCTTTATAATTTTTCTTTACTTACATTTGATTATGGGTGTGTCTGGTAATCTGGTAATTGGTTTTACATGAAATAAATAAGGACTGTAAAAATGACTCAGGGAGAAATGGGAAGCTCTCCAATTATTTCTGTGTTCCCTCTGATCCATCCTGTAATCTTTTTCCTGCTGGGAACAGAACAGATCATTTCTATGGTATAGTTTTTTTTTTTTTCTTCACAGAATAGAAAAAATATTGTTTTAATTATAAAGGGCACCCCCCCAAACAAAATATACAGTTAAATAAAGGGAGTGGTAAAATATTAAACAACACAACACAATGCAGGCCATTGCATAATCTGTTACTGTGAATACATTTGAAGGTGAGATTTGCTAGAGAAAAAGGGTCATGAAGAAAAAAATCTACGCACGAAGAAAATTAACTGTAATAGTAAGATGATAAAATGAGAATAACTACAGTTCCAGGTAAGCATATATGATGTTTTTGTCATCCTTTTATTTTTATTTTATTGGTTTCGTGCCTGTATGTGTGTCTGCATGAGTGTGCTAGATCCTGGAGTTACAGACAGTTGTGAGCTGCCATGTTGGTACTGGGAATTGAACCTGATTCCCCTGGAAGAGCAGTCAGTGTTCTTTACCCCTGAGCCATCTCTCCAGCCCATTTCTAGTCATCTTAAGTGTCAGCAGACTCTAAAGTAATTTAACCCTTAAATCACTATCAAAGTAGTGCTTAGAAAAATATCACCCTCACACCATCAGTTTCTGAGTGCTTGTAGAAAAGTTACAGTGACGGTTTTTTCCCTCAAATTTCTCTCTTAATATTAGAAAGACTTAATATTAGAAAGACATTGTGACTGAATTTATATTATCTTGAAACCTCCCCCTAAAAAACAAAAGCTACAATTTACTTTTAAGACCACTTTGGACTTTTCTGGGGGCTTCAGTTAAATGATGGGACTCCCCTTATGAGAGCAGGGAAGTCTAGGTGATTGTAAGTAAGCTGTTGAAAATATGTCTTGGGAATAACAATGTGTATTTGTATCCCTTTTTTCTTGACTCCATAGTTACCACTATTGTTTTTCCCTTCAACTTTCATATTCTTTTTCTTTTTTCAAGCAGTTGGCATTTAGTGATATTATTTGATACTGTTAGTATGTTCCAGTATTGGCTCTTTAAGAAGGAAGTTAGCTCTTTCTTTGGAAGTGGCAGTCTGGGGATATATGTCTTTTCCCAGTTGCAAATAATCTATAGGCTCAGAAAACAGTTTCAGTGACAAGCATTCCTGTTGTGTGGATCCACAAGACAGAATCATACTTGGGGTCTCATTTTTTGAATCAAGTATGCGTAATTTGTTAAAGAGGAAGGACTCTGGATAGCCTGGAACTTCTTAGAAAATATATAATAAAACCTGGGGTTATAGCTCAGTGGCAGAGTGCTTGCCTAGCAAATACTGAAGGAGAGAGGTGTATGTGGGATTATTTTAGATACTCACTGTTAGGCCTGTTTTCCTAACTCACTTCCCAAAGTTGGGGTTGAGAAACTGTATGTGTTTGAAGTTCCTGTCTGTTGTGGGACCTGGGGTTATTATGTTTCTAGACTCAGTCTCTCACCTTAGCATTTCAAACAATGAGTATTAGTGTGCTAGGGGAGAAAGAAATACATTTTGGCCAACCTAGTTTGAATTAAGTTTAATAAATTTGTGGCTAAATCATATCAGCTTTTATTTTTCTAGCTTTCAGTGGTTTAAGACAGAAACATTGCATCAGTTATATCAGCCTTTTCTCTTTAACTACTTATGCTTTTTTCCTCTAGTATAGTAACATCAGACTTGAAGTTGTGCTTAAGTTTCTCTGTGTTTAGCCAGTTCTGGATTGCCTAGAAGAATGTGTGTGTGTGTGTGTGTGTGTGTGTGTGTGTGTGTGTGTGTGTGTGTATGCGTGTATGCTTGTGTGTGTGTTGGGGAGATGAGATTGAGGGTTGGGGTTGACTCTGCTTTTATGCTCTTCATTGAGATTGAGCACATTGTTGTGAAAGTGCCAAGGTATGATGCCATATAGGGCTTCATTTCAGAAATTGCTGATAGGTATCAATTGTTAGAGGCCTGATTGGTGTATAGAATAACCAAAGACTCTTGGGGAGGCTCATTATAGGAAGATTGCCTCTTAAGTGACCTCTGCTTGAACCCACTCCTGAGCTTAAATGATACTTTCTTCTCCCTGAAGAAGTAATAGAGCAAGCGCTGCATGCGGTGGCAGTAAGCTACTCCAGTTTCCTCTCGAACTTTCATTCCTACCAGTTGTCCCTCCCAAGAATCATTTGTGTTTAAGCTCCACAAGCCATCGGTAGCAGTTACATTTGCTTTGTAATCACATATTGCAGTAAAACCTTGTTCAGCAAATTCTGAGGTCAGAAACGTGTGTGTATGAGAACCATTTGACTGCGTTGGAAAAAACAGTGTAGTAAAACCAATTACAGTTGAGATATGGGGGAGGGTGAAATGATTTTAATCCAGGACAATTTGTAAAGGCCCCATAGGAAGGCTGCTTCAGTGATGTGAGAGGCAGTGCTAGACTGCACTGTAAATAGACCTTGTTTTGTTTTAGCTGCGGTAAATTATTTAGTGCCCCTGAGCTTTTTGTTCTGAAGATAAAAAAAAATTCTCTTTAAAGCTAATTGACATCTGTTGATAAATAAGTCAAAGAGGACCCTACTAAAATCTAATCTAATTACATCAACTTTGAGACTTCTTTAGTAGCTAATGACTGGTTGTTTTTTTTTTTTTGTTTTTTGTTTTGTGTGTGTGTGTGTGTGGTTTTTTTTTTTTTCTGCTTGTTTTTTTGTTTTTTGAGATGGTTTCACTCTGCAGTGCA